CGCCTCTGGTGCTGGTGCCTCTGAGGGTACTGGAGTTGGCGCTACTGGAGCTGGGGGTGCTGCTGGCGCTGGTGCTGTCGTTCGGGGTGCTGGTGGTGTCCCTTCTGGTGCTGGTGGTGCTGAGCGGCCGCGGCCGTACTTCGTTCCGCTCCTTGAGCAGGTTCTTGGTCTTCCGCCCTCTGCTAGTCCGGCTCCTCCCTTAGAGTGTCCACCGCCTGTCCCGTCCGAGTCACAGTTACAGCCTACCTCTCCTCTGCGTGCTCCTTCTCCCTACACTGGTCCTACTGGAGAACTTGCTGAGCGTCGTGAGCCTGCGTCTCGTCCTGCGTCGCCTGTCCGTGCTGCTCGCACTAGTAGTCGTGGTTCGCGTCAGCGTCCTCACCCTGTCCCCGGTACGCACCGGATGTCTCTGCGTCCCTCCACTGCTCCGCTGCGTGCCCCTTTGCCTTCTCCTCCTGAGTCCTCTCTTCCTGTTCTTGCCGACCCGGAGTCGGACTCCCTTCGTACTGCAAGTCCTACTGTCACGCGTCTCCTTGCTACTGTCGTCACTGACCCTTCGTTTGAGTCCGCTGCTGCGTCTGCCTTAGTTTCTGAGCTTGTCGAATTCGCTGCTCAATGTCGCCTAGACTACGCTGCTAGTCTTCTCGCTGAGTCTGAGTCTGTCTGTCCTCCGTCCGTCGCGGGTGAGTGTGCCCTTGGCACGGACGTCCTTGAGGACAGGCAGGAGGAGTTGCAGTGCTTTGCTGCTGCTTCACATCATCTCGTGTCCTTGCTGCTTGCCCCTGAGGGAGACCCGGATGCACCAGACATCCCGACTCCGTGCTCTTACGCGGAGGCGATAGAGGGTCCCTACTCCTCTCAGTGGCAGGCAGCCATGGATGCAAAGATGGCTTCCTGGAAGTCCACAGGCACCTACGTCGACGAGGTTCCCCCTCCCGGGGCGAACATCGTCAGTGGCATGTGGATTTTCAGGGTGAAGCGGCCGCCGGGTTCTCCGCCTGTCTTCAAGGCGCGCTACGTGGCTCGTGGCTTCAGTCAGCGGCAGGGAGTTGACTACTTTTAGACCTTCTCTCCCACCCCGAAGATGACCACTCTTCGGGTACTGCTGCACATAGCTGCTCACCGTGACTACGAGCTTCACTCTCTTGACTTCAGCACTGCTTTCTTGCAGGGCAGCCTGCACGAGGAGATCTGGCTGCGCCGCCCACTTGGCTTCACTGGGTCTTTTCCTCCTGGTACCCAATGGAGCCTCCGGCGGCCAGTCTACGGTCTTCGCCAGGCACCTCGTCAGTGGCACGACACACTGTGGACTACATTTGCGGCTCTTGGGTTTGCTCCTTCTACTGCCGACCCGTCGCTGTTTCTACGCACCGACACTTTTTTGCCACCGTTCTACATCCTCGTGTACGTCGACGACTTGGTCTTTGCCACAGCTGACACTGCTGGACTCGCCCACGTGAAGTCCGAGCTGCAGAAGAGACACACGTGCACAGACTTGGGTGAACTGCGCCGCTACCTTGGCTTGCAGATCACCCGGGACAGAGCACAGCGCACCATTACCCTGACTCAGTCACACATGGTGCAGCAGGTCCTTCAGCGCTTCGGCTTCACGTACTCCTGGCCTCAGGCCACTCCTCTGCCTACTCGCCACTCGCTCTCAGCTCTGCCTTTGGATGAGTCCGTAGAGTCGAGTGGTCCTTACCCAGAACTTGTTGGCTGCCTCATGTACCTGATGACCTGCACTCGACCTAACCTTGCATACCCTCTTAGCATTCTTGCACGCTATGTTGCTCCTGGGAGACACAGACCAGAGCACATGGCTGCAGCGAAGAGGGTGTTGCGCTACTTGTGCAGTACGTCGGGCATGGGGCTTGTGCTTGGAGGGCGCAGTCCAATGGTCCTCACTGGTCATGCAGACGCTTCTTGGGATCACGACCAGGCTACGCAGCGGTCGTCACAGGGTTACACCTTCAGCCTTGGCTCCGGCTCTGTTTCGTGGCGGTCTACCCGCTCGTCTTCTGTTCTCGGCTCCAGTTGTGAGGCTGAGATCTACGCAGGGACCATGGCTGCACAGGAGCTACGCTGGCTCACCTACCTACTGACTGACCTAGGAGAGGCGCCTCGTTCTCCTCCATTTCTGTACGTAGACAACAAGGCCATGCTGGCCTTGTGTTGGGAGCACAGACTGGAGCACAGAACGAAGCACATCGCTCTTCGCTACTTCCTTGCTCGTGAGTTGCAGCAGCGCGGTCAGCTGCGTCTTGCTTACATGGCCTCTGAGGCCAACACTGCTGATATATTCACCAAGGCACTTGCGCCTTGTGACCATCAGCGCTTCTGTACTATGTTAGGTCTTGTACCTACCTTGCCTCACTTGCTCACTTCTTGACCTTGCTTGTACTGTTACATATATATATACCTGCTCTTGCTTGTTTAGTGTTATATATATGTGTGTACTCATGCATGTGAACTGGCCTTGTGGCCTTGAACTTCTGCTCGGAATGTGTGGTGACGTTGTGATCCACCCTGAGCCTGCTTTGCCTTGCTTTGCTTGACTGGTCTTGTGACCCCTTGTTCTCCCCCACTTTGGCTATTGGGGTGTGTCAAACTTATATGATCTAGCCTGTGTAGGCTGTAGCGGGTTAGATACTAAGGGGTACACTATTCTAGGGTTTCACATTTGTATCACTTTCATTCCTTAGTCAATTTATTCTCGTTCTAAGTTTCTCAATATTCGGTACAAAACGGCGGATGTAGTTAACGAAGCCGAGGAAACTCTGCAACTCCGTGATGTTCGTGGGCGGCTTCCACTCCGAAATCGCTTTTACTTTGCGAGGGCCAATTTTATTGCCCTCCCCTGAAACCACGTGCCCCAGGAACTCCAGCTCCGACTGTATGAACTCGCACTTAGAGCCCTTAGTAATCAGCCGGTTCTGCTGCAAGCGCCGGAAAACCTCCTCTAAGTCATGTAAATGCTGCTCTCGAATCTTGCTGTACACCAGGATGTCGTCCAGGTAAACAATGACCTTTTTGTCCAGCATGTCCCGAAACACCCCATTCATGGTGAGCTGGAAGGTCGAGGGTGCGTTCGTCAATCCGAACGGCATCACAGTATATTCGTAACTGCCGTAGCGGGTGCGAAATGCTGCCCGGTATCACTGTTCGACATCCCTCGGCATGTGTACGAATGTCGAGTTTCATCGAGGGATGTCAAGCTGCACTTCAGACACCAACACGCGTGGGTCCGACGGATGAGTTTCGTCGACGAAAATGTACGAAACTCGACGTTTGCACTTCAGACACGCCCTAAGAAATACTGTCCAAATTACAACACTGTATAACCCCGTTATACACACAAAACCCTATTGACAATTCTTCGATGGAACCACCAATGCCGCCATGGCCACCTTTGCGTAGCCTGGAAGTCAACGCGCGTGAAGCCTACGTGTCAGCTGGCTTTAAGAACAACATATTTGAATTCGCCTCGTTAAGACGAAGAGATTGGTACAACCTAGGTGTTCAACTGACGAACATTGTATCGACTCTCAAGTCTAACCTGTTGTTATCTCAACTATCAGTACTCAAGGTTCTCATTAACAGCGCGTCAAACCCAGGGTCTAAGCTCGCCTGGCATGACAACAAGGATTTCTTCTATTGTTTATCAAGATTGTGTCTTTTAAAGGGAGGATGTTACCTCGATGTCTTATTAGCGACTGCTCAGCATTTGCAGTAGGAGCAATGGTTAGCAACGCTAACAATGAAACTATTTAACCATACTGTGCTCAGACTACCGGCATATCAGGCATTCCAAGCCCTATTCTCAACATTTCTGCCGAGCTCTAGTCATCATTGCACCATGCCTCGTGCACCTGCCATGGGGAAACCCCGTTAGCAGTAACGGGTGAACAACGGCTGCTGCTGTATGCGATGTTGCAGGGCGCGCTAAGGAATATCGAGAAAATTCCTTACAGCCGGGCTAGGAAAAATGGTTATGCATTTCCTGCTTCTATATTTGTTGTAAGAACTAAGAAAAATGGCATGTTGGCTGAGCTGATTTCAAATAGAGAAATGCCTTTATTTTTATATGCTTGACGAAGCCCATTTCACAGGTTACATATGTAAAACAAAATCCCCTATCCATGGTTTCTTATAATTCACCTGGTATCTCATGTGAATACTTCTGTGCAGAACCGTTCAAATTTGAAGTTGAAAGTGTGGATGGAGACAGTTCTTAGCGGAGCGTCTAATGGGTTTCAGGCATCTGACAGTTCTTCGCACATAGTAAGATCCTCGACGCGCCTCGTCAGATGTATGAGCTTCATCTGCGATATGAGACCGCTTATCTATGAAGACCCCGTGTAGTGTGTTATCGACCCAACCTCATTACATGTCGTGACTCATCATAGTACACCGTGTACTGCTATCCGCTCTATCCGCATGAGCTTCTCTCATTCCGGTAGACGCATCTCGTCGTTGTGCTGAAAGAAAAGCTCCACATCTGTTTCGCCGTGGCAAGAGCAGTTTCGTTGTTTTTGCGGATTCCTCGCCGACGGCGTCTTTTAACTTTGGGAAACCAGGTGGACGGGCTATCAGCACGGCATGGTTCTTTTTACCGCCGCACCTCGTGGCTTGTCAGTCGAATGCGTTGTAAATAGATTATGGACTGGCAGACGAGCCTGGAAGGAAGGATCCAGGAACCTTCTGTTGACAGCACCTGCAGCAGTGATGCCTGACGACAGCGTGACGCGACAACGTCCCGTGCTGACGTGTCTACGGATGATGCGTGATCAGCCGCGTTCCAGCCAAGGATACTTGAGGAATGCACGCTCAGACGCAGGCGCTGAGCTTACGACACGTGGCACAACGCCTATATATCTAGTCCACCACATGTTCAACCCCATATTTGACTTAGTATCGAAGGTGCGTACGGGAACGGGAAAGCGATGGGACAGGAGCAGAAAAGCAACAAGAGATACGTAAATCTTAAACCTTTTCATCACATGTCAACTGGAGATGGCACGAATTCGCTGGTCCACGTCAGCAGCAGCAGGCCCGACGTGTGGTGGTCCTTCCCTGACAACATCGCCAAGAGACTGCCGTTGCCACCCGGCCGCTGGCAGAGAATAGAGGTGCGTGGGGAGGGTTGGGAGAGGGGAGGTGCAGGTGGGGAAAAAGTGGCGGGAAAAGAGAGAGTACGTATTGGAGGATGACTTTTGAGGGGTTGCAAAAAGGGCGGTAGTGGGGGAGAAGAACGGTAGTGGCGCTTGCTTATCCTTGAGTTAGAAGGTTCCTCACACCCTCTTCTTGACCTGTTGTGTTCCTATGGTTCTTTCCCCAACCCCCCCACCTGCCATGCTCACTCAGTTCGCGGTATTTCCGTCCTTCCTTCTCTTTTCCTTGTTATGCTTCCGTTTTTCCTTCCCGCGCTCTCACTCTGACTCTAAATCTCTCTCTCTCTCTCTCTTATTTGATTCGGGAGTGCACAAACATGCTCTTGCGAAATTCCAACTTCTGAGGCACGTCAAAGTAGTTCGAGAGTGACAAAAAGAGCTAATGTTAGTCTCTTCTTATTCATGAGAATTCTAAAAAAGGGGCTAAATCAGTTCCTTGTTCCCACCCCTTCCCCCACCCACACTATGCCTTTTACCAGGGTGATCTCATTTCACGCAAAAACCAGCTTGTAAGTCCCTTCACTTTCCCGCTCTTCAACGCCCTCTCTTAGATCCCCTTTCTTCTTTGCCTTTTTCATATCCCTCTTCTCATATCCTTTCTCCTCGGTTCTCTCTCTTCACAGCTTTACGTTCCCTCTCTTCATTCATGCATGCTTGCACATCTTCCTTAAACTCCCTCGCCTCTCCTACTCCATACCCACGCTGCTCGCCTCCCTCCCTCCCTCCCTCCCTCCCTCCCTCCCTCCCTCCCTCCCTCCCTCCCTCCCTCCCTCCCTCCCTCCCTCCCTCCCTCCCTCCCTCCCCTCGACCACCTGTACTCCCTGTCCGTGTCAATAATTTTTCTCTCTCCTCTACACAAAATTTACTTCTGAGGATTTGTAAAAGCCCTTCCTGCTCGCCTTCCTCCCTCCCTCCGTCCGTCCCTCCCTCCGTCCCTCCCTCCCTTCCTCCCCGCCCCACCTTCACTCCCCGTCCGTGTCATACTCACCATCCCTCCTCTCCACCTTCCTCTCCCAGCCCATTCCACCTCTGTCCATGTTGATCCATCTCCATCTCTCTCAAACTCCCCATGTCTTCGAATCCCGCACCTCATGAGGCGAGTCCTGAGAGGGCTTGTGTCCTGAGAGGGCATGTTGTGCTCTTCGTCAACCTTTCCCCTCCTGCCCCTCATTTTGTAGGCGCCTCAGAAATTGGCATGCTATGGCCTTCGCCCCTTTTCCCCTCCTGCCCCTCCCCCCTCTCCCTCCCTCTCTCACGTTTGCTTCCCTCTCCCGTTCCCATTCCACGAACTACTTCCCTTCCCCCGCCTCCTGTCTCCCTTCCCCTCACTGCTCCCGTTCTCCCGCCAGGTCCCCTTCTTCACACCTCCCCTACCAAGCAACAAGAGTCTGTTTTGCACCAGTGCTGCAAAAACCTCACACGTAGCTCAGATATTGCCCTGTTGCGCTCCCCCACCCCTGTTCTCCTCCTCCGCCCTGTCCTCCCACCCCAATTTCCCGCTCCCCGCCCTGTCCCTGCCCTCCCCCCCTCCCCTCAGGTGAGCGACAGCAGTCTGGCGGGCATAGGAGGGGCGGCTGTGGGACTGCCTGATACCATACTGAGCTTCTCAGATGTGCTGCTTCTCAAATTGGCCATGGGAGGGGATCAAATGGAGGTAGGCATGTTTGGTGGGGGTGGGGGTGGGGGAACGGGTATAGGAAGGAAGGGGGGCTCTGAGTTTGAGGCCGCCATGCTGAGCTTCTCAGACATGTTGCTCATGCAGGGCAAGCGTGCCGTGCCCGTTGGGGGTGGTCAAGTGGAGGTATAGTGCGGAGTGTGGCTGAGGGTGGGGATGGGGAAGTGTGTGGGCGTGGGTGGATTTTTAAGTCGACTTAAAAATCGACTCATCACACGCAGTGTGTGGGCGTGGGTGTGGTGTGGTGTAAGCTGGGCATGTGATGAGTCCATCTGGTGTTATCACATCATGTTACCATGGATGTTATTGTATGATCGCACCATGTCGTGTCTGACGAGATCTTATCTGGAGAGGGGACTGACTGGTTTCGTATGGTGTTACATTACATTTCTCTGTGGTGGTGATAGAGTGTGTGATGAAACAGACGTTTTCAAGAGATCCAATTAAGCAAACGTGCCTGATAGCAAATCTGCTTATTCACGCTTTGGACTGTCTTTCTGCATTGTTCCTGTGCGTGGTCCCTTTTTTTACCCGTTACTGCAGCCTTCGTTAGTTGCCTGTACTATGCAGGCTCTTGTTGGTGCAGTATACGCGGAAAAGGTCAGTGCTTCTCACACAACCCCCAAACCATCCTCACACCAACCTCACAGCAAGAGCTCCTCAAGGCTGGCAGCTCCGCTTGCTTATCACCTCTTCTGATAGTGTTGATAGTGCGGTCGGGTGTTTCATTGTCCATCAGTAAAGCCCCTCTCCTACACCACCCACAACCCCCAACTCACTGTCTTTGGACCATTAGTGTAGCTACGTCCACACTCACTCCGTCCTCTCTGCGCACATGCCCTCCCATTCCATCTCGTCTCCATCCTTATCCAACCCCCTTCCCCCTACCCTTTCTCTCCCCGCTCCTTGTTCCCTTCCCTCTCCCCATTCCCTTCCCCGTCCCCATTCCGTTCCCTCTCCCCGTTCCCTTTTCCCTCCCTGACCTTCCCGGCCCCATTCGCTTTCCCCCCCCCGTCCCCCTTCCCCCTCCTCGTCCCCTTCCCCCTCCCCGTCTACTTTCGCCTCCTCATCCTCTTCCCCTTCCCTGTCCCCTTCCCCCTGTCCCCGTCCCCTCCCCCTTGTCCCCTTCCCCTTCCCTGTCCTTTCTCCCCGTCCCCGTCCCCCCCTCCCTGTCACCCTCCCCATCCCCATCCCCGTCACCATCCCCGTAACAATTCCCTACTCCATCCCGTTAACAGTCCCCTGCCCCCCCCATTAGGGCCTGGAAGCAGCGGCAGCCTTTGTGACACGCCTGCTGCCCTCACTAGTCGACTCGCGCACTGTTGCTCCACACACACAGAACTTGGAGTTTGGGCAGCAGTATGAGCAAGAACCTGGGCATGAGCACCGGCAGCGGCTGCAGCATTTCCAGCAGGACTGTGGGAGCGATGTGAGGGTGGTGGGCGACGAGAGGATGGGCGATGTGAGGGGGGGCGATGCTGCAGGAGCAAGGAGAATGGATTCTTCAGAGCAGTATGACCCCGTGGCTTGCCTGAAATCACTTTTGAGAATTCTCAAAAGTGATTTCAAGGAGAATGGATTCTTCAGAGCAATATGACCCCGTGGCTTGCCTGCAGGAGCTGACTCTCCGGCACTTGGGGCTCGTCCCACAGTACCAGTGCGTATGAGTGGAAACATCATCAAGGTTTATAGGCTTCACCGTGCTACAGGCTCCACTCCACTGGGAGGGGAGAAGAAAGGGCACTTGCATGGGCTTTCTCTGCTTGAGAATGCTCGTTTGTTCTCTATCCGACCCCTTCCCTCAAACGGTCCGTTGTATTAATTCTGCAGGGGTACAAACATGCAGTTCTATCCATTATGACCTCAATCCCTTAAGCCCATTAACTCACCCCTCTTCCCCCCCCCCCCCCCTGAGTGACCCTCTAGCCCTCCAACGTGTGGAGGATGTCCCCTAGGTGCAGCAGCCATGGGTCCGCTGCCATCTGGGGGTGCGCTGCCTCAATCCCAGCCCTGGCCTTGGTGTGCAGGGCGTTCGCCTGGGAGCGCTGGAGGGCCACTGACCAGCGCTGGCTGAAGTGGCAGGCCATCTTCTTGGCGGATGCTGGCATCTTAGTCACTAATCCCCTTATCCCCCCATACAACCTTTTCCCTTACCTATCGCGCCCCTTCACCTATTTTTCCTGTCCATACCTTGCCTCCACACCCTCTTTCCCCCTCCACCCGTCACCATGTGAACACCCTTTGCTTATGGCAAGCAGCTTCATAGGGACAGGCAACACACACACACGCCCCACGTGACAGAGAGGGTGCGAGTGTATGCAGCAGGGAGGAGGATGGGCACGGGCATGGGGCCGACAGTGGCGGAGGCAAAGCGAGATGGAGCAGCCAAGGCACTGCTCGCATGGGGTAAGGTGTTCGGGGGAGGAGTGGGGGAGTGAGGGAGCAGGGTGCGAGGTGAGTGGGGGTGCGGAAGAAGGGACGACTTTAGGTGAGAGAAGAGAGCATTATGCTTTGCGAGATGGAGGAGCTTTGCTACTAGGTAATTGATCCCAGGCTGTGGTCATCTAGGAAGTGTATGCTGTGGTAACTCTGGAAGTGTGTGCTGTGGTAACCTTGTGGGTGTGTGCTGTGGTAACCCCGTGGGTGTGTTCTGTTGTAATCCTGGAAGTGTATGATGTGGTACGGTAACTCTGGAAGCGTATGCTGTAAATCATTGGAAATTTATCTTGAGCATGGGTCATGCGGCTCATCAGTGTTGTTGGTCGGTGCAATGCGATGACGCTTGGAGGGGGAGAGTATTGGTGCTCTGGTCTGGTCTGGGGGGAACTTTGCGAGATACTTTTGAGTTGTGCACGGTTGAAGACGAACCACAAGCTTAGGCAAAATGTCACCACCACACGTGGCAACAGGAGACAGGCCAATTTATTTTTGTTCTACCAGTAACCTCAGAGTCAGAATCAGCACTTCGTTCAAATCACATGCCGAATCTGAAGCCCGCATTCTTGGTAGATGGTTCGATAGCAGAATCGCACTTAGTTCCACAGAATACCAACTCTATTTTAACATGAATGCTTTCTTAACCGGTGAAGTTATGTGATTACTACTGTGTGCGGTGATACGGAAAGTATTGTTACTAGTGAAGTCGTGGGTTGAAAGTGCAGACTGAGACAGTTCTTAGCGGAAAATTTCGGATTGTCCTCGGAAGCATGCAGAAATACTTGAACCTCACACATCGCGGCAGTATTTCCGAGAGAATTGCCGCGGCACGGGCTTTGCCCTCGTGAATTTTTTTCATCGCGCTCAAAATTTTCCACAACCCAAAAGACACGCGCTCCACCTTCTGTCCCGCGCTTCCCGCGCTCCCGACAATTCGTATCGGAAAACTGAGTGTAGCTATTAGTGTACGGTCACCTCGAAAATGTTGCCAGGATTTCACACGGTCGCCTCCAGTATTCGTGGAACCAGACCTCAATTTCCGAGGGAGCCCAAACCTACGTGGAAAGGTTTGGCTCGAACCTAGCCATGAGCATTTTATCACCGACAACATTTGAGCGCCAAATGGCAGTCAGGTAACTGCACTTGTAAACCTCCCGGGACTCTACTGACGCTCTTTTGAGCGTCGCAGCGCGAACATAAGCCAATACATGGCGGGGGATCTGTCATTCATGCGCCAAATGGCAGGCAGGTACACGGCTAGTTTACACATTGACACGAGAGATGTTGTCATTACACGTTATCAAACACGCACCAATAGCCAATTGCCATTTCAGGGAAGTGAATGAACATTTGATTCCATGCGATTGCTGTATGTGGCGCCGAGCGAGCAACGACCACTGGGGTGACTCCAACACCTCAAAATTGTTCACGCTTATTATCCACAAGTGTGAACGTAGTTGCCAACCGAGCGCCACACAGGATGACAAACCATGCACCAAATGTGTGTACACGTGGTCCGACCTTCGTGTTTTACGTTTCCGCGTCAGCTGAAAAGACAAATGTGGTACAAATGGCAGGCAGGTATAAGGCGGTGATCTCCGCGCTAATGTTCATTGGATCTCTTCGTTTCCAACCACGCAACATTTGTACCAATAGGCGCCCGCCCAGGGCCTATTTTTGGATTTTAGGTACTCTGATTTCCAGAGTAGTTTTTTTTTCCCAACTCTGAAATCTAGGGTTGTTCCTGCGCCTTACTCTGATTTGTCAGAGTAACCCTATACTTAAAAAAAAAAACCAGGCACGTCAGAGTAATATTTTTCTCTATTCTGATGTTAGTTAAGTTTGGTGTACCATGACCTTAATAGGTTTTTGTTACGCCTTTTGTACTTGCATTATGTTTCATTTCCGCGTCGCCCACGTTTCCCCCCTCACTGCGATGTTTCAGAGTGAGGTGTTGGCGGCACCGATAATCTGACTAAGAGCGTGTCTGAAGTGAAATTTCGACGGATGTACAGTTCCGTCGGGGAATGCTGACAAATCTCAACCCTCGGACTGAGCGTTCCGACCGTCAGGATTCCTCGACGTCCCTCAAAGTTTCGTCGGGAAACGTCGACGTTCACTTCAGACATAAAGAGATAGAGGACTGGCTGGCATCGTGTGCTGGCTGGGAAAGTTGTCAAACTACGGTAGCCAATCAGCGCTCATATTGCCGCCAACACACGACAGAAATCAGGAGAATGATCTCGACGATTCGGGGAAAACCCGCTAAACGCAGGGGCGGGTGGGGAGGGGAGGGGGGCCGGCAGGTTTTCCTATACAGAGTAAATTCGGTCCCCGAAAAAAAAACCCAGAGGCCTCAGAGTAAACTACAGCATAACTCTGACAAATCAGAGAAATCGGAAGTCCCAAAAAAATTACCCAGCGGGTACAGAGTTACTTTCAAAAATGACTCTGATTTTCAGAGAAACAGAGTAATTTACTCTGAAAACGTGAGGCCTGCGCCCGCCGTTTCGTGCACAACGCTGGACAAGTTTTCGTGCATTGAGCAACATACACTTGCTCATTAACTAGACGCGTGCATTGACCAACGAGGAGCATACAACGCAGCACATCCCTGCTGATTCTTATCAACAAATAGAGTGCATGCCAATTGGCTTGCACGAGATCGGCTGGCGACCGCTTGTACCAATGTGCTCCCGCCGTGTAAACTGGGTGAATGTCCACGTAAATACATTTTCATCTCTACGATCGTCTAAACACCACAACGTAATCATGCACGAACGAGGGTACGCAAACACAACACATGTAGTGCCCAACGTTATCAAGCCACGTCGGCTTAGCTGTCACCTCATGGCTATCATTCACATATATTCGTAGCGCGAACTCCAGCCAATCGGAGCGTCCCGTGTTCAGTGCCGAACAAATTATCCAACTCTTCACGTTACGGGTCCTTGCTCATCACCCTATATTGATTGTCCGAGCTCCGTAGCTTAGCTATTCGGCGCTTCACCTGTCCCTTCCACTAACAAACGCCTAAAACTTATGCTCTCGCTTATTAGCATTCTAAGGAGCTGCGAATCCTCCACCAGTTCTCTTTCTGTCAGCTTCCTACAAATCCATAGCACACTCATATTCCATCAAGCCCAATGCCTACGGGCAGGCCGGACGACCCTGTTAATCTCGGAGACAATGACGACGAAGAACTCGTCGAGGTAGATGCTCAATCTGAGCACGTAGAGGCCGGCGTTGAAGATGCTGCAAAGGGCCTTGGTGCCCGCACCCGTACACGTAATAGGGGCGGACAGCAGAGTAAACGCGCACGGACGACGGTTGCAGAACAGCATCACCCTAGTGGCCCGTCCACACGGTCACACCGTTCTAGAGTCATAGACGAACCATACTCGTTCGCTCCTCTGCCTCCACCCCGGAATGCGTTACCCCCGGCATAGGATCTCATAGCCGATATGGCCCAGAGCACCAAGCAGCTCCCAGACATAAACGCGTCGTGTTCACCAAAGAAAGAACCATCGGTGATGAGTGGAAACTGGCCCACCAAGTTAATTTCGAATTGGCATGGGTTCGGCACATCGTTGAACGTGGCCGACGCACTCCACATCCAGGATGCGGCACCAATCACCGACACCGCGTTGGACTTACACAACATGTAAGTACAAGGATAAAAGATTACCATGGTTGCCATGTTACTACCGGTTCCGCTTTAACAACTTCGACTGTTGCATAATAAAAAAAACCCTCCCTCCATCCTACCCTCCCTGTACGCCGTTATTCTACGTGCGCAGTGTCCTCGACATTCGCCATCCGAGACTAGAGAACGGGAAAACCTGGATCACCCTCGACGTCAAGGCTTATGACTACATGGCGACTCAGAAGAAGCTTATCGCTTGCTGCGAAGACAAGGACACCTTCTTGCGCTTCGACTATGTTGCTATTTTTGCAGCGGCTGAGCACGTTTTGCGGTTACCTGCGTTGAGTCACTACGGTAATTCACTTCTAACATCCGTGTCTTGTGATTTCCAGGTTCCATTTCAGCCTGTTTGTCCTCGAAAACGCCAGGACGCTTGTCGCACCGTCCGACGGTGGGGACGCACCACCACCGCCACGGCTATGGCTGTACGACTCAACAGGACATCACGCCGGCAACACCGCCGTCGTCACAAATGTTCGATAGTAAGCATGCGATTTGCGTGCACTCGCAGTATTCTTGTCACTAACAATCTAACCAAACTCTCCTGCGTTTTTCCGGCAGTATCCTTGCATCGGAGCGGAATCGTGTCTTTCCAGAATTGGCACGATCTGAGGTCGAGTCTCGGATCGGCTCCTTGCGATATCGAGCTCTTGATGTAAGACTGTTAATTACCATGTGAAAAGCCTCAGTTATTCGTTCTTGTGAGAGCCATACTAATATTCCTGCTCCACTTATCACGCGTATTATGTTGACAGCTGACCTGGGAGATCCCGCGGCAGCCTGAGAAGAGCCTGGACTGTGGCATCTACGCTGGCATGTACCTTCATACCCATGTTACCTCCGGCTTCCAGCGCCTTGGTGGCCCGATCGCCTTCACGACCTCTCCTGCCCGTTATCGCCGCGACTAGCGGGCAGACATGTGCGCCCATATCTCTGGGAATCCGCTGTCTGCACTTCAGACAGCGGGAATCAAGCTTCCACCACAGAAGCTCACGCCCAGGTGCCCCGTACTTGTAAGTGCCGAAGTGTCGGAGATGAGCGGTGTGGTCCAGGAGACAAGCTCCGAAGTGCAGCTCATAAAAAAGGAGGTCGCGGCTCTGCGCGCCGATTACAAAGATCTCCTGGCCAAGTACGACAACTTGAGCCTGAAGCTGAGCGAGCGTGTGGCAGCGCTCGAGAAGGGCCGGGCGGCGGCAAACAAGGAGGGCATTGTGGGCGCCCCGGGACAGCCAGACGCCGGTTCGCCCTCCAAGCGGGTGGATTCTTGCCCAGATCCTGCTCTCAACGACACCGCGGCCTCCCCCCTTGCAGGTTTTCGGGTTGCCTCGCGGCTTGGGGCCAACCAAGAAGCAGCGCCGCAGCAGCAGAACGTGGCAGCGTCGCGCGAAGGCCAATACGCCCCCGCATCGCCATCTCCAGCCCCCGCTCATGCAACTGCGCAGCAGCCAAGCGTGCCACCAGCACGGGACGCGGTGTACTTTCCGCATGCGGCATCTCGACCACCCGCGCCGCAGCGTCCAGTCGCTCCTATCCAAGCTCCTCCACGCCCACCAGCGCCCATATTCCATCAAGGATACTTTCCCTTGCCGCAATATCCGCCACCACCCGGGATGCCGTACTACTGGCCGGGAGCTCCACCGCAGCATGCACCCCCCCCGCAGCAGTCATACCCCCCTCTCGCATTCCCGAGTATGAGTGGCGCGGGTGAAAGCGGCGTGGATTGGCCGCGGGACTCTGGAGTCGAAGCAGTAGGCGCTGGAGCAGCTTCCGACGCCTTAACCCAGGGGAGGGTTAAGTATAAATACACGGGCGTTATAGGCGGCGGAAATGCATGGCATGCCAAGCTTCTGATGCCCACCCCGTACAATCATATCCGCATGGGGCCGTTCCCGAGCGAGGAGGAGGCAGCAAAGGGATACAAGGCTGCAGCTCTAGTGGTTAGGCCGGCGGGGTGTCGCATCCAGCGAAGTATTGATCTCACACCGCCCGAGCAGCAGTTGCTAACCGGGTGCACCCGGAAACATGTGGAGATCCTAGCTGGGACTGGACTCTGGCAAAGGTGGCGCGAATGGCGGCGACTCTTCTGCAGGTACCTCACGCTCCAACGATGCTGCCTCCAAGGCAGCAAGCAGCTTCTAGCAGCAGCCAGGCCACTCAACCGCTGGGCATGGGCCTGTCTGGTGCCCAGGGTGGGCACTGTCAGAATATTATCTTATTGTTCTAGCCTGTAGTGGGGTGCTCTATAGCGAGTACAACCCTTCTAGGGTTTGCTATTTGTATCCTCATTCTTGCTAGTTCAATCCTCTTTCTTCCTTCAAACTTTGACATGCTATCAGAGCAGGTCGATCCCCTTGGATCGATCCTGTGGGTGGGTTTCCACCTCGCTTCCGCTGCTACCTTTCCTTCCCGCCGTGCGCCCCGAGGCGCGCGGCGGTTTTCCTTCCCGCCGTGCGCCCCGAGGCGCGCGGCGGTTTTCTGCCCGCCGTGCGCCCCGGGGCGCACGGCGGTTCTTTGCCCGCTGTGCGCCCCGGGGCGCGCGGCGGGCGTCTGCTCTACGTCGCGGCCCCGCCCTACGTCGCGGCCCTGCCCGACCGTCGCGGCCCCACCCTACGTCGCGGCCCTGCCCCTCGTCGCGGCCCCGCCCTGTGTCGCGGCCCCGCCCCTCGAAGCGGCCCTGCCCGACCGTCGCGGCCCCGCCCTACGTCGCGGCCCTGCCCGACCGTCGCGGCCCCGCCCCTCGTCGCGGCCCCGCCCCTCGTCGCGGCCCCGCCCTACGTCGCGGCCCCGCCCTGTGTCGCGGCCCCGCCCCTCGAAGCGGCCCCGCCCTACGTCGCGGCCCCGCCCCGACCGTTGCGGCCCCGCCCTACCTTCGCGGCCCCGCCCTACCTGTCGCGGCCCCGCCCTGACCGTCGCGGCCCCGCCACTCGTTGCGGCCCCGCCCCTTGTCGCGGCTCCGCCCTCCAATCAGGTCCGTGGTGGGCCCTTTCCTCCACACCCCCCCCCCCCCCCCCCTCCCTCCCATTTCCCGTCGCCTGTCGCGGCTCCTTCGGGGGCCGCGAGCTGTGGGGTGGCGGGTATGGGGGTGGTCGGTGTGCCTTCCTCCCTTTCTCCTCCTCCTCCTTCGTCTCCCACTGCTGCAGCTGTCGCTGAGGGGGGTGGTTGTGTGGGAGACTGGGTTTAGGGTTTAAGGGGGGTGTGTGGGAGTAGAGCTAGTGGTGTAGCAGTGGGTGTGTATCAGGGGGGTGGGACTGTGTGCGGGAGGATGAGCGGAGGTTGCCAGTTTGTCGTCAGCAGCACCTGTAGTCCGGGGCGCTGTCCCGGTAGCCCAGTCGTAGCCAGCTGTGCCAGCCGCCCGTGGGTCCGTTGCTCGTCCGCCGCTATTTGAGCTGCGGGGCCTGTTACTCCTGTAGTCCGGGCGCTGTCCGGTAGCCGCTGTGCCAGTCTGCCTCCTGTTGCCCGTGTGTCTGCAGCTTCAGCCGTCGCCTCCTGTCTCCTCTCCCCTCACTCTCCCTCCTCCTCCTCACTTGCCCGTTGTGACTACCACTAGCTTTGCTTATAATTGTAAACTCTAAACTATTTCTTCTTGAACTTGTGCTCAGAATGTGTGGTGACATTGTGATCCACCCTGAGCTTGTTTTGCTTTGCCTGCTCTGCTGATTACACCCCACTTTGGCTATGGGGGTGTGTCAGAATATTATCTTATTGTTCTAGCCTGTAGTGGGGTGCTCTATAGCGAGTACAACCCTTCTAGGGTTTGCTATTTGTATCCTCATTCTTGCTAGTTCAATCCTCTTTCTTCCTTCAAACTTTGACAGGCACCAGCAATACACGGACGACAATCAGCACTACAACTGAGGTACTTTATACTCGTTTTGCCTTTTGAAACAACCATGTTTAATAAAAACTAATGCCCCTCCATTTGCGTGTGTGCGTGTGTGAAGGGCACATGACTAACAACTTAGTGCTGAGCTAGTACCATGAGTCTGGTTCCACCCTGTTTACCAAGTTTTTCTGCACGCATGCTATTTTGTGTTACGGTTATCAATCTAGAGGCCGTGAAAGTTTAGGACGTTCATTGAAAGCATAGTATGCTACAGTTGTGATCGGTGGGCGTCGCTGACTTTATGAAGTTCATATATTTCTTAAAACACGCGCCAGTATTGCGGTTTCGTTGAAAGCTTCGTATCCAAGTTTTTTAGCTGTAAAAAACCGTGTGCTGCTGACAAAGTTTAAAGAAAGAAAGAGGATTGAACTAGCAAGAATGAGGATACAAATAGCAAACCCTAGAAGGGTTGTACTCGCTATAGAGCACCCCACTACAGGCTAGAACATAAGATAATATTCTGACACACCCCCATAGCCAAAGTGGGATGTAATCAGCAGAGCAGGCAAAGCAGTACAAGCTCAGGGTGGATCACAATGTCACCACACAATCTGAGCACAAGTTCAAGAAGAAATAGTTTAGAGTTCACAATTATGAGCAAAGCTAGTGGTAGTCACAACGGGCAAGTGAGGAGGAGGAGAGAGAGTGAGGGGAGAGGAGATAGGAGGCGACGGCTGAAGCTGCAGACACACGGGCAACAGGAGGCAGACTGGCACAGCGGCTACCGGACAGCGCCCGGACTACAGGAGTAACAGGCCCCGCGGCTCAAGTAGCGGCAGACGGGCAACGGACCCACGGGCGGCTGGCGTAGAAGTCTAGCTCACTGGGCTACCGGGACAGCGCCCCGGACTACAGGTGCTGCGGACAACAGTACGGCAACCTCCATGCAGCTTCCCCAAACAGTCCTACTCCCCGACACACACCCGCTGCTACACCGCTAGCTCCACTCCCACGCACTCCCCTTAAACCCTAAACCCCAGTCTCCCACACAACCACCCCCCTCAGCGACAGCTGCAGCAGTGGGAGACGAAGGAGGAGGAGGAGCAAAGGGAGGAATGCACACCGACCACCCCCATACCTGCCACCCCACAGCAAGCGGCCCCCTCAGGTCGCCACGACAGACGACGGGAAATGGGGGGGGGAGGAGGGGGGGGGGGGGGGGGGGCGCGAAGTGGGGCGGCGGGGCCGCGACGGGTCGGTGGCGGGGCCGCGACCGGAGTTGGCGGGGCCGCGACCGGAGGTGGCGGGGCCGCGACGAGTCGGTGGCGGGGCCGCGACGGGTCGGTGGCGGGGCCGCGACCGAAGGTGACGGGGCCGCGACGAGTCGGTGGCGGGGCCGCGAGAGTGGGGCGGCGGGGCCGCGACGGGTCCCCGTCGCCCGTCGCGACGCGTCCAGAGCGGGACGCGGCGAACGCCGCGGCAGAAGCCCGCCGCGCGCCTCGGGGCGCACAGCGGGCAGAGAACCGCCGCACGCCTCGGGGCGCACGGCGGGCAGAAAACCGCCGCGCGCCTCGGGGCGCACGGCGGGCAGAAAACCGCCGCGCGCCTCGGGGCGCACGGCGGGAGGAAAAAGTAGCAGCGGAAGCGAGGTGGTAACCCACCCACAGGATCGATCCAAGGGGATCGACCTGCTCTGATAGCATGACAAAGTTTAAAGAAAGAAAGAGGATTGAACTAGCAAGAATGAGGATACAAATAGCAAACCCTAGAAGGGTTGTACTCGCTATAGAGCACCCCACTACAGGCTAGAACATAAGATAATATTCTGACAGCTGCCCTGCTGTGTAGCGCGCGTGCTTTGCGTTTATGATCGATGTTAGGAACCTGATAGCGCAGCGTGTTTTTTAACATCATGAACTTTGATCCAGAGGTGGCCAATCATCAAAGCCAACGTGAGGCGTGAATGAGCACATCGAATCTGAAGTCTCAAAACTTGATGGCGATCACGATCGAACAGTCAACACAATCCTGGGTGCTGAACAAACCAGACAACCATTGGCCCAAACCCAAACTGGCACGGCACGTACATGCTCAAACCGTAGAATTCACGCACGCAACATTGTGGCAGTTTGGTCCACGTTATACCTTCACGACCGGAAAAGCGTGGGAGCACATTCACGACCGGAACATATCGATCACGGCGTGCCTAAGACTACAGCCACAAGAACACTCCAACACCATACTTAAAAGGCTTCAAAATAGCACCACGAGCTCCAACACGAATAATACTCATAGTCTTCACCTAGAGCCCAAACACGAGCTTAGTGTCGCCGACATCATGACCACTACAGTTTACGGCACCATTGGACTAGGCCCAACTACTAGTAATATTAACGACTGCTGTGACCCAATCGTAGCTGTCCACAGCGACGTGCGGTACGGGAGAGAGAATGCAAACCACTATCACTACGTGGCAGCTGAAGAGAGGATATCGAGCACTATCTACAATTGGCATTCATTTGGTATTACGATCTCATGGGCGGACATTAATCGCATAACATCATACCTCGCAGTTAACGACAACATCATCGATGTGCACAACATGTACGTAAAGTATGGTCATTCACTTGTGTGCATTTCCTAATACCTTATGAATATAACAACTCCATTCCGTGCCATCGAGTTTGCTCGACATACGCTACCCGAAGCTTAGAAACGGTCACACATGGATCGCACTCGACTCCAAGGCTTTCGATTACATGTCGAGGCATGGTAAACTCATTGCCTGCTGCCCAGCTAAACGGTCGTTTCTGGAATTCGACTATGTCGCGATTGTTGTCACTGGAAGGTGAGTTTGACAAACAACAATAAACATGCCTGGAGCTCACTAAGCCACCAAGTCTTTCTGATGAGTGTTTGAAGTTTTCATGCGCAGGTTTCATTTCAGCCTTGTTGTGGTTGCAAACGCAAGACACCTTCTGACGGAGAGTTTGCATCATTCCCCTGAATACCAGCCAAATTTCTATCATTACGACTCGGCCGGAACGCACTGCGAGATGGGTACCGAATGGGACGTGATCGAGCGGTATAATCATCGTTTTGGGGACTCATGGTATCCATATCCGAATTTGTTAATGGTGGAGGCACTGACCATACACGCGTTGTATGTACAGGATGGTGGCTAAAGAGATCCATCGTGTGAAGACCGGAGTCTGTGAACAAGACAGTCTGGGTCACGTTAAAGCGATTGAGTGGTGTATACTACAGGTAACTGCACGCCAGCTGTGTCATTAGAAAGTCGTGTGGTGGTTTGATA